TCTGACATTTTGAAGAAAAGAAAATCCCACAAGTTCACGCGAAATGTGATATCCTCAGTCAAATGTAAAAGATAGTTTTTTTTGTAGGTCTCTAAGGTTTCGCTAAAAACCACAATCACGGATGGCTGGTTCTCTTGTACGTGACAAAATTGTATTTTCATTGATCTCATTTTCAGCATACCCCCCCCCCCCCCACCCCCACACCCACACCCACACACTTTTTTGCGCAAGACTCGCTTCCAGTGTGGGTAGTAAAAGCAAAACCCAGCTTGTCTAATGTGGGGTCAAAGAAGTACAGACATGCTCTGGGGGCTCTCGTGGCCTAGAGGTTAAGGTGTTGGCCTCTCATTCAAAGGTCCCGGGTTCGAATCTGGGTAGCGACTGAAACATTTTCTTCTCTAAAATTGTGTCCTTCTACCTCCTCTAGCAATGTTCTGTCGTCTGCTTTCGTCTACTCTTTCTGCCCCCACCTCTTCACCTCCTCTGCCCCCTCCCCTGGGCTCCTGGCTCTTTCTACAGCCTTTCAACTGCTACTCCTTGGCTCCTTACTGCTGTCTTTCAGCCACACCCCTGATCTTCTGGTAGGAAAGATCTACACCTAGCATTCTCGGACAAGGGAAAAAAATCTCGGAGGGCCCGTGTGCAAGTTGGGCACATTAAAGATCCCTTGGTGGTCTAAAATCGATAAGAGTAGGCCTCGGCCGGCACCCGGGCAAAATTTAACATTTCCTACCAACTGAAAATGTTTAATGTGTCCCGCTCGCTCATATGACTGTATGCAGTTGTAAGCGCCGTAAAACACTTACAAAAAAAAAAGACATGCTCTCCAGAATCAGATGGTCGCAATGTCCCCCTCGCGTAATTCTTCAACCTTTATTTCTACGGTGCTCAAAAAGGAATAACAAAACTCGAGTGTCGCAAGTAGAGTAACAAAAAGTTCTATGTAAAGGGAGTAAAATAAAAGAAGGTAGGGCAGGTAAGTTAGGCAAGAAAAATTAACTTGAGTACTCCAACTCTGTTCATAATCTAAGAAATCAACGAAAATGTGTCTTGCCATCCAATCATTTGCAAATTCGGTTTGCAATCTTTAAAAAAAAAAGACAACAGAATTATTTTAAGCTTATCTATTTCCATTTTCCATTTCAGAGACATATTACCACGTCATTTGAAACTTTACCCCCAAAAGTAGTCTACAAAAAAATAATCACGCCCCTTTTAACGCATCTTTCTCAGCTTTGCGATCCGCAGTTCATAGCTTGCTTTACTTTGTCAAATATTGAGATGTATTAAATATCTAGATCTAATTTTTAGATTTAATCGTGAAATGAAGGAAAATGGAAGAAATTTTAAATGACAGCGTCAGTTAAAACGATAATACTAATAAGAAACATGAGCCCAATTTTCCCAGGCCACCACGCAGTAATAAAATTATTATTTATTGTTCTGTTGAGGCATTTCGCAGGGAAGTAACACAAGGTAATGGCAAGATCTTCATAAATGCGGGTTATCCAGCTTGTAGCCTGCCTTGTAATAACGGTACACGATGTGCTCTAAAATTCGCGGGAGACGGGTGGGTGGAGTGGGGTAGGGAGGGGGTAGGGTAAGGGGATTAGGGATGTTGTATCCGCTCGTCTAGATGACTTGCTAGCTTACACAGCGAGGTGTAACGCTCGTCCAACAAAAATATGATGCCGCCAAACGTTTCACGGTCTTTTTTCGATTACATCAAATACATGTTTTGATTTTCCTTTCAGTATTGATAGTAGAATTTTAATAATATAGCCTAGTACAGTTTCATTTTTGTTCAGGCGAAAAAAGGGGAAACGTGGAAAAAAGGGGAGGGGTGGGAGAGAGATTTGTTCCTCTGTGTATGGCTTGTTCGTGGCAGCGCAGTGACGACAACAACGAAGATAAAGGTGACCAGATAAGATAAAGGATTCCGTGTTGTCGAACTTTAACGTATCAACATGTAGGCCCTTGTTGTTACCATTCTCATCATAGTAATATCCAGGAAAAACAAAAGATATCGACAAATATAAAAACTGTGTTTTCGAACTTTAAAGTATCAAAATGTAGTTGCTACCATGCTCATCATAGTCAAAGTAGACCCCAATTTAACATAATTGAGCTTAACGTTTTGAGGTTTTGTTTCGATGTCCTTTAATGTGATTTACTAAAACACAACGGTTTGACATAGATGGAAATCGCAAATCGATGGCTGCAGCAAAACTCCCACAAACACCAATTTTCCATTGGCATTTGTAAGAGTCTTGGATCCATCTATCGAAACTGATTTCAAGTAAATTTTTAAAATATAGACATTGATAGTAGATCTATCTTTATTTTTTAAACTGGAATATTTGTCACGGTGGTTAACAGCTGGTGTAACTCACAGTGGTAAGCCTAGCATAGGAAATGTAGACGGGTAAAACTTAGCTGGGATTGTTTAAAATATTTAATTTAAACAAGTTAATGATATTCCTTGTCAAAAGCTGCACTCTCACGCTCTGTCCCCCCCCCCCCCTTTTTAACTTCCAGCTAGAAAAAATATCGAGGTACCAAAAAAACCCCACCTCAACCACAAAGCAAAAGTAATATCAACGGCAACAGCAACAACGATGACCACGACGACGACAACACAGTCGGGAGAAATCATCTAGCACACCACAACCGCTTAGGAGCTGTTTATTTGTACTCAAGGAAAAAATGATATCATGCATCGTATCTTTTAGAGGACAACAGGGTGCTTCCAAAAAAATATCTACCTCTAAAATTTAAATAGCTAATTATTCTTACGTATACTTGACACAGAACTTGAATATCTTGAATTTATTTCTGCTGACAGGATGCTTCAAAGTTCAAAACCAATTGAGTAAGGCATTTTGAAGTGGTAACTTTTTTAAATCACTAAAATTGACTTTTAAAAATGAAAGCGTAAAAAAATTATTATGGAAATTTGTAAGACATGCTCAGTAAAATGCCCTGACTCTTTTGCACCATTTATTTAAAGCAATATATCTAGTTTCGTACTCTTACATTTTAAAAACAAAGTTAGAGTAAACATTCAGTTAAAACATTTTTATGTAAACGATGTACTTCTTTCAACAGTAAACATATAGGCTACTCAGTTGTGAATCACTCGCGCGCACAAGTGCTAGTCGATGTAACTTGTAACGCATTGATTTTGATTAGCAATTTTATTTTCGTTTCCAACTGGTCAATCACTTGAAGGTGTTGCTAGTAAAGTCCCCACAAAGAGAAATTCAGTGTTCAAGTGCTGTCTGCAAAGAGACCATTCGCAAACCATTTTGCCGCTGATGGCTAGGCCTTGGAAATTATCGTGAAGTCAAGTCAGGGAAACATTGGTTGTATGGGGTGTGGCTCCATTCAACTGAAACCGTAGGCCTGTGAGGCATCGTGGTGATATCAGGCGTTCGTCAAAATAATGAAATTGAAGAAACTGGCATGTTTCTGTCTGTTTGGCAATTTTTGACACATTTATGTTTTGGACCTTTAAGGTCCAATTAAAAACACATTTCTGTGTGGATTTTACTGGGGGGAAAATGTTGATTTAAGGCACAAAAATGTAAATTTGCCGTTTCTAAGGACTCTCAAGCTCTGGAAGTCGCCAAACTTTGGCGTCCCTCACTAACTTCACCTCTGAAACCAGGCGACCCCCACCTCCTTCAATCGCAAATATCTCAACTTCTATTCTTGTTAGATGAATGTTCTTTCACCGAAAGCAAGACAAATGAACAAGCTTTAAAATGATACCAATAACTCCACATGTCAAAAATATGACGAGCGCCTGATTCCACCACGTTGTGACACATATATTATAATCAGCGGCTACGGCTGAATTGTAAAGAGGGTGGGGTTTGCCGTTCCCAAACGTTGAAATCACACTGATTATGAAGGATGCATAATGACAGAGATGACAGTGAAACACGAATATAAAAGGGTAACGGGGAAAGGTACATAGATCTAGATTCAAAAGTATTATAATCTTGTTTGTGGCAAGACCATAATATTTGAAATCAGTAAAATGGACTGACCTGCCCATATTTATATATGTACATGATTTGTGGCCTCCGGTTTTAATGTTGAGCGCATTTTCTGATGACTTTATGCCTTTTGCTTTCAATCCACAACAGGATGCCAAAATTCTTCTCTTTGATATTGTCCTAGTGTCCTGACAGTGAGCTTAGCTTCACGTAATAAAGAACTAAAGCGAATTTCAAAAAATGTATTCTACAAGATGCATTGCTGCATTGAAAAAGAAACTTAAGATTCCAATTGAAAACTATCTCAACCCCCTGATTCAATACAAAGGCACTTGCTTCATTGTTTGTCTGATCCCCACAAACAGAACACAAGTGTACACTGTACGCAATATATCGTTACCAGTAAACACGCTCAAATCTTTATTTAAGTAGAGGCCCTACAAACTACACACGCAATATAAGCCCACCGACACCATAACAGTTACATGGATTGACTAAAGAAAATACCGAAAGCTAAGGAAAAATGGAGGTAAGGGGGGGGGGGGTGCTCAGTCTACGCTTAGGTCTCAAGCCGCAAGAGTGGATAAACTAGATCAAGAGTCATGCCATGGCTAGGCACGTGGCACAGTGCAGCTTCAGCCCCCGAGCCAAATAGAACCATCTCTTTCGTTGTCTCAGCCTTGAACTATGCAAGGCCAATGCCCCAATTATAATATTATTCAATCTGTGGGAACATAAACGCCAGGGTTTTCCCGACGGAGGGAGTGCCTGATAGGATGAAACTATAGCGTAGCAAATAGTAATAGGCACGCAGACCAATCAGATCGCCATGTTTTGTTTTGATTTTGGTCAAAAAAGTAGCTTTTTGGTGAAGAAAACCAGGTGGGACTGAAGCTGCAACTCCCATCTCACAAGACGTAACTGCGTGTACTTTTTATAGCTGTCTCCTCCTTAGACCTTTTCAAAAATTCTTAAGGACTGCAATGTGCCGCTCACTTGTTACACTAGTGATCCTGCCCGTCTCCACAAACCAGAGTGGACCAACAATGGTGTGGCTGCTGAGTGCCACCCAGGTTGTGGACTTCTCCACATGAAGTAGACGCCCATGCATATACTCGTGTCGGGGATTGATTCATAAAGAAGAGTTCTTAAAAGTTAATTGCTCATCTAAATGAAGATATGATTCGTCCGAGAATCAATATTATTTCGCTCACTCAATCTGGGTCTCTTTCCAACTGCTGAGCAAAGTGTTTTACTGCTAAGCGATATGATACAGACTGAGATGAGATCATATCGCAATGTCCCCCGAACGGACTCATGATTCTGGTCCTCTACTTAAACAGCCACCTGTCTCATTGATATTTCAGGCTCTGCTTCGATAAAGTGATTTAGAGGCCTGATGCTCCTTTCAGTCCTCGATGTTGACGTCTCCCAGAAAGCAATTGAGGGCTCGATTCGATTGCTTTGATGTCAGAGTTAGTTGTATATGTGTGCTTAGGAACATTATCGTATGGAATACTGACCTGAAATTTGCATATTTGGTGTTTGCAAAGTTGTTCTATATAACTTTTTTAGTTTCTAGTTAGATTTATTCATAAGCATGGAAACTTTCTTAGGAATACAGACAGATTTTTTTTCGGCCTTTCGAGTATATTGCGCAAAATATTTCTTAGAATAAGCTTCTTATCAAACAAAAATAGAGGATTTCGTTTGCGGAGCACTATCCGATGTTTAACCTAGAAGATTAGAAAAAGAGAGTGACCAAAGAGCATCTGGTGCCTTGACCGGGATGCTCATGCAAAGAGGACCGGACTCTAGAGGGGACAGCTGGGCAAACTGGGCCGCGATACTGATGCACAAAGAAAGGCTGTTGGTTGCCTATGCTCGACAAGGACAAAACAGTAAGTTGATCTACAGTAAGTACCGAAAGAAAGAGATAGAGGGTCAGATGAAAGACAAAGACGATGCATCTAAGTAACTATTGTATCAAAATAAAAGACGCATTAGTTCTGACGTCTAAATTAATAGTAATAGTAATTATGATTATTATATTAATGATGATGATGATGATGATGAT